GAAGCATTGATCCACCCACTCCCCAATAAGCCCTTTGGGACCAGAGTTTTTTGCCAATCTGGTAATAATCCCCCCCCCCTTTTTAAAGTAAATGACTGTATTTGAGAATGTGGTACTGTATTTGTGCAGCTGTAGTTATTCTTGGAGAGCCCTGATATAGGTTCAGACTTGGTTTGGGGTAGAATCAGCCAAGCCAGGTAGAGGACTTCCTGCAGGATAGTCAGAGGAAGTGTTATTTTATTGATCTTGCATGGTCTGTTAATGACTTTTGATACCATCAGATATGCTGTTCTCCTGGATCATCTCTGCATAGACTATACTAAATTGAATCTACTACTTGTAGAGATATCTCACAGAATAGTATCTGGCTGTAGTTATTCTTGGAGAGCCCTGATATAGGTTCAGACTTGGTTTGGGGTAGAATCAGCCAAGCCAGGTAGAGGACTTCCTGCAGGATAGTCAGAGGAAGTGTTATTTTATTGATCTTGCATGGTCTGTTAATGACTTTTGATACCATCAGATATGCTGTTCTCCTGGATCATCTCTGCATAGACTATACTAAATTGAATCTACTACTTGTAGAGATATCTCACAGAATAGTATCTGGTAACTGTCTGCATTCTGGCAACAATCTATAGTGTGTTGCAAATCATTGCTTTGTCTCCAATATTATTTAACATCTATATGAAGCTGCTGAGATGGTCATCAAGGGTTCAGGGGCTAAGTGTAATCAGTATGCCAGTGCACTCAGTTCCCTTCCATAATACTCATACAGGATAGGCTGTATGTGTTCTGAATCTAAATGAGTGATGGGGTAGGATGTGGAGTAATAAACAGTTTGAATCCTGAGAAGATGGACAGCTCTTGGGTGGGTGAGTATAGGAATTCTAAGTGGGGTTGCACTTCCTCAGAAAGTGATAAGTAGTTTGGGCATGTGTCTGAAGTTATTGTCATTGGAGGCCTAGGTGGCCTGTGCAGCCAGAGATTGCCTGTTATCTCTGGTCAGCATAGTAATTGTTGGTATAGCAACTAGGACAGAGGGAGCCTAGCTAATGTTGTTTACACATCAGTACCCTTGCTTTTGGATTACTGAATTGTGCTGTATGTAGTTACCCTTGCATTTGATCCAATTGTAGCTGATTGGAATGCAGTAGTCAAGTCGCTGAATGGGATACCTGCCTATAGTCATGTTACGCCTCAGTTGAAGCAACTGCACTGACTGCCAATTAGCTTACTGAACCAAGTTCAAGGTTTTTTAAATAACATATAGATCACTAAATAACTTGGGACTGTTATAGACTTGCTTGATTATTCATTTGGGAGATCCCGCTCTTTGCGAAATGCCTACCCTA